GTTGATTGAGTGACTTGGTCGTCGCTTGAAAAACTCGCACACGGATTGATCGAAGATCACCTGGGCCAAGATAAAACAATAACAATTGGGCCGATATTAAAAGACTCAACTGGGCCGAAGAAATTTAATCACATTGGGCTGAAAAATTGAAATCAATTAGGGTTGATTTAATTGGCGAAAAGGGCCAGATTTAATATAGCGAAAAGGGCCGAGACAATTTCTAATAAACTGAGACGATAGGAATTAATCAAAGGGTAATTTACATACATACAGCTCTCGTTGTTAAATATTTACAACATTACGAAATTAAAATCTTATTTGCATATTCACCATATCTAATCAAAATATTTAGGTAAACATAACAACACCTCTCTTTCTCTTTCCTCTCGCTTTCATATTTTCTTCTTCCCCCGATTTCTTTCCCCCATTCTTTTTCTTCCACCTCTCTCCTTTCATCCCAATTTCCTCTTTTTATTCTCGCAGATTATCTTAGCGAAAAGGCTCCCTGGAACGGTGCAGAGACCGGCGGCTTCAGCTGAAGGCGACCTTGCAACCGGCGCCAACGAGACCTGGGAGCGGCGCAGTTATCGGACCCTGGACGATTCAGGGGTTCGGTCCAGTGGCGGCGACCGGCAGGTTCGGCCGCATTCCTCATCGCCTCTCGATTGGAAAATCGAGCCCTAATCCCACCGGATAACCGCAACAACAACCCATTTTCAATTTTGGTTCCTCGATTTCTAGGATTTCTACGCTCAATTTCAATTAATCCTCTCATCAATTTCCCAATGGAGATTTACTATAGTTCAATCTCCTCAATTTATTACTGAAAATGAAGTTTCAAAACTTTATTCTGTAGAAGGGAAAGCGGTTGTGTTGAGTCGTTTGACGGCAGACGAGGCTTGTTTGGAATACAACCAAGAGGACGATTTACTATGTCATCAAAAATAGAAAAATTGCTGGTGCGTGGCTCAACGATCGTGAATTTTTTATCTGCCAATCATGAATCTTTTAATGTGTTGATCGTGAATTTGTGAGAATTTTGTGTTGGGGTTTATGAGAATTTTTAGATTTTAATGTTTATTGTACGATTAGTACTAATTTATAGGAATTACGAGAAACTCAGGTGTATATTTTATGTATCTTTTATGTATATGTGTGTCCCGATCTGCCGTTGATTTGATTAACGAGAAACTCGAATGTATATTTTATGTATATGTGTGTCCCGATCTACCGCTGGTTTAAATTACGAGAAACACGAGTGTATATTTTATGTATATGTACAACTAAAAACACTCGAGTGTGTATTTTATGTATATGCACAACTAAAAACACGTTTATCTATGTTTTATATACCAAAAATATATGTGATCTTGTTCATTGTCGTTCGGGTATAACTAAAAACACGTTTATCTATGTTTTATATACCGAAAATATACGTTTATCTATGTTTCATATACCTAAAATATATGTGATCTTGTTCATTGTCGTTCGGGTACAACTAAAAACACGTTTATCTATGGTTTATATACCGAAAATATACGTGATCTTGTTCATTGTCGTTCGGTTGCAAAGGTATGTTCAAAATTCATAAGTATATTTGTTGTTTATACCGTATATATTTGTATTTACGTTGGTGTCTGAGCAAAACAATCGGTGAGATCTCACCAAATTTGAATATGTCGAGATCTTCATCTTCAACAAATCTATTCTTAACCATATAACAACCTTCAATTCATGATAAATAGAAAATAAAAAAGAAAAAATCGATACTAAACTGCTTCAAATTGCCTCATGCTTGAGCTGTATATATTGCATAAATAATAACATTACAAAAACCAATGCTAAACATTTTGATGTCAGATAATTTGAGACACAATACAAACAAGAAATAAGCTAGTGCAGAAAAAAAGGGGATAAAATTAGAGATACAAAACCTAATATGTAACAATACGACAAGCTTCAATAGATGAAAAAAAAAAGAAAAAGAAAAACAATACTAATCGTGTTGAAAATTGCTTGCTCTGTATATATTACATAAATAATAACTATATATAAATGTTATCAACAAACTCCTTGTCAAGTAGCATCTCGCCCATGCTGATATCTTCACCTTCAACAAAATCGGAGTCTTGGTCGGGTTTTGCTTCTGCGAAATTGGAAGACTTTTTATTCCCTCAAGCTCGCTGCTTCTATGGTTCTTGTTCATCGACATCGCCGACGACATTTCCGTCTATAATTTCTTCTCCAATTCTACTACGCGATTTGTTGTAGCCACTATGTTTGGAATTAGTTTGAAATTGCAGCTTCCTCTGGACAAGCTTGTGGTCGACCTTATGTTTAAGGGTTCTCCTTCGCCGACGGGATAGTCGATTTTTGCTATTAATTATACTTTTGTTTCTCGACAAAGAAGATGATGTAAAAAAAAAAAAATAAAAACCAATTGAGAGCAATGGCGTGACAGAGAAAGGAGATGGTGTGAAATCGTTTTCTAATTTATGAGAGAGAGAAAAAGAAAGAGGTGGCGGAAAGTTATGAATGATAACTACACCCAATAAAATCGGCAGTTACCAACATGCCACAACTTACCATATAACAAAAAAAAGACTTAAAAAATAAAAAAAAAATAAAAAGTTCAATAGTGAAAAGTGCCGTATCTATGCAAATATTTTAGGCATGTAATCCAAATCTGCTAATAAAAAAACAAACTAGTAGATATGCAAATAATTTTGGATGACTTCGTTCATGGCATAATTTTCTCTTAATCAAATTGGGTTGGAAATAAATTATCCGAATGAATCGAAAAAAAATCCCGATAAATTGGGCCGAGTATCAAACTCCAGGCTTGCTCGGAAAATGGTTCGGATAATTGCAACGTGAATTCCAAGGATATCGAACTAACCGATTGAAGACGAACAATTAATAGAATTGAACGACTTACAATATTAATTAGAAAACGTCTAATTAAATAATAAGTCTAAACGAGATATGTCGAGCAGTTACCGGAATAAATTGAAATGCAAATAATAACATAAAATGCGAGAAAAATACATAAGTCGAAAAGGGCACCACATTAGTGGTTGTGTATGTTGTAATTACCAATTTACCTTTAATGAGTGTGAAAAATAAGCATTTTTTATCTAATAGCTACTATTTATTGTTACAAAAATTTTATGGAGCCATCAGATGGTTTTCTTATGGAGCAATTCACTAGTTAATGTATTGACACCTGTCTAAAATGTATTTATTACAGGACAGGTGTCAATACACTATTGGTGAATAAGTGTGAATGACTCCATAAATAGAGCTATCCGATGCTCCATAGCAAAACTGATAACTATAGATGGCTTGAGACAAAGTGAATTGGGAGAGAGAAAGTTTCACTTTGATCAAGTTAAATTATTGAACTAAAGATCTATCCGAATTTGTGATTCTCGACGGTTTGCGAACTCTACACTCCATCCCCCTCTCCCTCTCTCCACACATTCAGAATTCTTGACATCTTTCACCAATTATATATATGTCATGCGCCAAGTTAGCGATTGATGTGCACCACTCCCCTTTGTTGTTAATTCGAGTCCTTAGTTTACCTGCAGATAAT